ATTGAGGATAAGCCCACTGTTGCGACACTGTCAGTCAGTGTCCCGTCGTCAAGTTTACTTGACGACGTACGAAAGGCATACGCGGAAGATAAAGATCTTCTGCGATTGATGGATCATCTGGTGAATCCATCTAGTAAATCCATGAGGGATTTTTCGGCTTTGTACCGATCCTCATCGGATCGGTATAGTACACGCAACGGATTGCTGTACTATACAGCTGTTGCCGACGACACTCCTCGTGTCGTCGTCCCCACTCATAATGATTTGCGTTAACGCATCATGTATGAGTGTCACGATGCCCCAACAAGTGGCCATCGTGGTAGAGAAAAGACTTACCTCACGGTAAGTCGTGACTTTTACTGGCCACGCCAGTATCAGTTTGTCCGCAAGTACATACGTGCTTGCGAGGTTTGTCAACGGGTGAAGCCTAGTCCTCCATCCCGTGCACCGTTACAACCTCTGCCGGTCGCGACAGAGTGTTGGCAGTCCATTTCAATGGACTTCGTCTTCGGTTTTCCCGAAGACGCTCACAAGAATAATGGTATTCTTGTGTTTGTTGACCGATTCAGCAAGATGGTGCATCTTGCTGCAGTCCCTGAGTCGATCAAGGCTCAAGGTTGTGCTCGTGTCTTTCTCGACACGGTCTTTAGACTCCACGGGTTACCCTGTGAACTCGTATCCGACCGTGACCCTCGGTTCACGGCGGCATTTTGGCAAACCGTGTTCCGCACATTGGGAACACGATTTGATGATGTCTACTTCTGACCATCCCGAAACAGATGGTCAGACGGAACGTGCGAACCGTGTCCTCGAAGAGATCCTTCGAGGATATGTCCACTCGTTTACGAGTTGGAGCGAATTCCTACCCATGGTGGAATTCGCCATCAAAAATTCGGTGCATGTTTCCACACAGCACACACCGTTTTACGTGAATGGCCTACGCCATCCACGTGTGCCCACCCTTCTAGAGTGTGACTCTTGGATAAGGGGGGAGGGACTCGCTCGAGCAAAAACCGTTTTGGCTCTTACTCATCACGTGTCGACGCTAACGTCGTCACGTATGATGCCGATGTCGATCAAGTCGACATCGATGAAGAAAATCACCTCAGAAATAGCGGCGACGCTATTACCGACTCGGATGATGATGACGATGCTGGTATATTCAGCATCGTCAACGATTATGACAGCGAGGAAGAATACAACCTCGCTGAAGAAGAGAACAATCTCTTAGCAGTGCGCACGAAGCGCACTGAAAGACAAAACAACGAGTCAGAAGAGAACTTCCTGCTGACTCGAGAAGCGGTAGTCCGTTTCGTTCAGGAATCCATCGCAAATGCGGTGGACCGCCAGAAACGGAACGCAGACAAGAATGGAAGAGCAAATGTTCTTTTCATGTAAGGTTAACGACCTAGTACTAATGTCTACGGTAAACTTACCTGGACATGCAGTCACTAGTGTCGGCAGTAGTTTACTACTGCCGAAATACATTGGGCCATTTCGAGTGTTGCATCGCAAGGGCAATGCATACACGATCGAATTGCCACGTAGGATGCGCACGCATCCTACGTTTTACGTGGGGCGACTCAGGCCGTACTGTCAGCACGAGCCTTCTTCTTCCGATGAAGATAGCCCCCACGTTCAAGAACATCCATCAAGTTCTTGTGCTCGCACTCCAGACGATCCGTCTGGTCGCGCAGATATGATACCTCGGAACTCAACCGAGATATCTCCCCGCGAGCTGTCGCCAGCTCGACGAAAAGGGAGCGGACATCCCGCTCGACCTGAAGCTGCGCTGTGGCATAATCGGCGCGGTCTCTCGCCCGATCAGCCTCGCGATCCTTGCGGTTCTTCCGCACGGTATCAGTCAAAGCGTAGCGCCGATCGCGCTCGTGCTTCAAGTCATCTCGCAATTCATTGATTGCGCGGTCCATCTCGTGAGAGTCGAGATGGTGAGCCGAATCATCTGAAGGAGGTCTTTCCTCATCCACCACATCCATTGGTGGATTCCCTCGGTGGTCAACGCTTCCTAGTAACGCGTATCCTGAACAACCGTGACAATTCAGGATCAAGGACGAGCTACCTCGTCCAGTGGCGGGGGTATCCACCCTCTTGGAACTGCTGAGAGCCTCGCTCTCAGCGGTTAATGGATGTTGAAGGTCTCGTCCGCTAGTATGACGAGACCCATACGATGAGTCCTCGGGCCCATCGGTAAACACGCGCCCTAGGCGCTTGTAGACGGATTGCAAGTTTGAAATCGCGTCACGCATCTCCTCCGAGAGATGTGCCCTTCCCCAGGGCGAACTTAGGGAATACACGTCCCTATGGGCACGCTGCGAGTTGTCAACACAACTCGCACAAGGGTCTCCCCATGTGAGGCAAGGAATGCCTGCCTCACTCGACAAACAGTACAACCGGTACCTGGCACCGGTTGGCGTTCGCTTTTCGAACCTGAGGCGTGTCGCCTCAAGCTTTTTGAGCCACCCTTCTCGTCCAAAATTCTTTACGTTTTGGACGAACGCGTTCCACGCAGCCAAAAGCGATGTTTTGTCACGCTTTTGGTTGCCGTTATACCATCGATGTCTAAGGAAGACATCGAGATAAAAGTCTTCTTCAGCGCGAAAGTTGCTCGCGCTGAGACTCAAGCCGTGAAGCTCCGTCGCATCGAATAAGGTCATTCGATGGTGTTGGCTTGTCTCGTGAGACAAGCCATTGATGAGCCGTTCGGGCAAACGCCACGGCATCAGCTCATCACGCTTCACAGTGGTACCTTTGTCGGTACCATGGTTGTCAGTATGACGATGGCTTGCACCATCGTCAGGTCGCTCGTGCGAAGGAGCACGAGCTGATTGCGGTGATGAGCAAACATACTCATCACCAGATTCGTCATCACTGCCGAACAGACTGTGTTGCAACTCACGAGTCCGTTCGTTCGGCAGTGGCCTTGGCGAACACTGAGGCGTCGCCGGTGAGCGAGACGCCTCTGCAGCATTGCCCGAGTCAGACACGTCTGACTCGCCAGAGTAGATGACCTCAATGTTGGGGTCATCATGCGCACGCGGTGCTCTACCGCGTGCACCTGAAGCACCTCTTGCTGCAGGCGAAGAACGAGCAGCAGACGCCGAATCGTCTGCCGCAGAAGCTGGCACAGGCACAGACTCTGGGTGCCTTGAGTCACCCCACGTAGACATGTTAGCTATGCGAGGTCGAGCGGAAAGTGAATGGAACGGACCCAACAAGTGCTCCCTGTCCCAATGGTGACCAACGGGTGGCCGCCATTATTTTCGATAGTCACACGGTGACTTTCAGTTAAGGGGGGGTGATGTAACGGGGCAGCCCGTTACATGGAATTGTCACTTTAAGAAAAGTGACAGTAAAGAATATGAAGTTGAATATTCTTTAAACAATATCACCAAAGTGGTGAAATTGAAGGGTCGACCAAAGAGTCTGTTCATTGGTTGATATCTTGATGATATCAACCCACCAATCGCCGCAAGACGCGCGCAATGAGTGGTGACGAGACGTCACCATACACTCAGTTATATTAGCATAATTAAGTTAAGTCAAACAGAGAGACGGTAGTTAAAAGACTTAATTATATTAATATAACAGTTCTGCTTTTACCCTACCTACGCTTCCTCGCTTGCCCTGTGTACGTCTGTAGGGGCACCGATACCCTTGCGTTAAGTTCACGCAAGGGTGTGCCCCGTTACATTAAAGGCTTCTAGAAAACCGAACGCGAATGAACCTGGCTATAGCGGCATGTTGTTGGTCCCTGTCGAGGAACTCCAACATGGCGCTAATGGCAGTTCGCTTACTGTAGAATTCATGCGTTCTACCGCACTCCATTCGATGTTACTCAAATAATCAAAGCCTCCACGCGTGGCGTGGAAGGTTTCCTCCTCAACCAACATAAACATTCTGAATGAGGTGGTAATGGTCGCTAGAATGACTACAAAGTGCTACCAGGTGTAACGGGGCACGCCTTGTGTCAATTCGACATAAGGTTGTGTGAACCCGACGTCATGTACACGTGGCGAGGAAGCGCAGCGAAGTAGGCAGAACTCGAAAGGTCTGTCTAAGGGAAAAGTTGAACTGTATTTAATATAGCTATATTTCTTAATAGACCATCTTTGTCTTAACCTAACTACATTAACTTACCATCTCCTATGTGGGTTTCTTGCTCACCACCCATTGCGCGCGTCCAGCAGCGATTGGTTATTAATTTGGTTAATGTAGCGTCTGCATCAACCAATTAGTGGATACCCCAGAATATCACCCTCGATGGTAATATTCCGCCAACATCACCTCTTCAAGTGATGTTGATTGAGTATCATCGTAAAAGATATTGTTCAAGAATTGATACATCAGTATCCATTTAATGAAACGGGCTCACCCTTTTACATTCAGCAAGTATAAGCCAAACCGAAAGTTTTGCTCTCACCTCTGTGATTACTGGTATTGTCGAAGAGAGGCGCAAGATGTTGTGGCTGCGCGAGAAAAATGGACATACTCTGTGCTGGGAACTGTAGCAGGCAACATCTTAGCGAGCCAAGAGCTTCCTAACGACATATTGATGGGCACGTCGGTACCTCTTCGAGATTGATCACCGGTCATGAAAACGGTTCTGTCTTCTTGATCGCGCGTATATGTCGTGCTGAGTACCGCAGACGCGGCAAACCATCTTTACCCAATTCGGTACATCAACACTCAACGTTTCCGTGTTGTACGCGTATCATGAGACTCGCCAGCTTTTCACATCGAGTATTACAGGCCACCTCTGGTGAGCAAATGCACACCACAAATAACGATGGTACGCCCTTACACAAAAAGGGCTACAAGTTGTTGCACAACGGACATCGACGGAAAGCTGAGCCCAACTCGACACCTGACGAAACGCGGACAAATGACAAGACGTGAGACGGACTTGGACAGAAAGTGATCGCAATAGAGAGCGCCAAGTGCTGCAGTGTATTCAAAGTGGGTACTTCGCTATCGTCCACTTACACGAGCAGCCCACCAGTAATGACGGACACTACTTCACTGCTGGCGGTGACGGGCCCTGCAGCAGCAATGTTCTGGGCCGGCGCTGGTCCATTGCTGGAGGTGACAGGCGCTGCGTCACCGCTGGTGGCGACAGGCAACGTCTCCACGATAGTCTCGACTGGCGCTGATCCAGTGCTGGTGGCGACGGGCGCTGATCTAGTGCTGGTGGCGACGGGCGCTCCGTCAACGATGGTCTGGACGGGTGTTGCTGCGGCTGCTCCGCTCGTGTCAATGCTGAACTGGGCACAAAGCGGGTTTGTGATGTTGTTGTACACGTCGCACCACGTGTCGGGCTTGATGGCCACGACATAGTCGCTGTCCTCGAACACGCGCTTCAAGCCTTTACCGATCTGCGGGTCATACACGCTCACGTCGTCCGTGGTCAGCGTGAACGAGACGTCCATCGACTCGCCAGCCTGCAGCTCAATCTTCTTGAACTTCTTCAGGAGCTTCATCTCCGGCACCGAGATCGAGCGGAACGGCTGGATCACGAACAACATCACCGTCTCATTGCCGGCACGATTACCCGTGTTCGCAACGGTCACCTTCGCAGTGACAGTTGCGGACGCACTCGTCAGGCGCGTCGTGTCCAGGCTCAGACCCGAGTAATTGAACTGCGTGTAGCTGAGACCCGCGCCGAACTCAAATTCCATCCGGCAGTTGTCGCTCGCACAGCGAGTGGTGACGAGGTGGTTGTACGCAATGGCAACGTTCGCCGGGTCCTTCGGGTACGTGATCGGCATGCGGCCGCTCGGGTTCACCTCCCCGTAGATAATCTCAGCCATTGCCTGGCCACCGAGCTCACAGGCCAGCATGCCGTTGATAATTGCCATCGAGTTGGCAGGGATCGAACCAAGCAGACGAGGGCGGCCCCCAAACAACACGACAATCACTGTGGTGTTGGTCGCACGAAGAGCCTCGATGTACCTCACCTGGCCTGCGGGCAGCTCCAAGTTATCAATGTCGCCTCGCTTTTCAGCGTAATTGGCTTCCCCAATGACAGCAACCGTGTACTGGTGCTCGCTAGCATGCTTCACAGCTGTCGCCAAGTCCGCGTCCGAAATACTGCCGTTGACTTGCAGCCCATTGAAGTACGTGAACGAGCTGTTGCCAACCAAGCCTTCAAAGCCCTGGCGAACGCTGACGCCGTGGGGAAACATCATATTGCCCGAGTACCCTTGCCATGACTTGCTCAGTCCACCGCATTGGTAACCGACGTTGTCAGCAGAGTGGCCCGTGAGGAAGACAGACGCTTTCTTGGGCAGCGGCAGCACGTTGTCAGCATTCTTCAGGAGCACGATGGATTCGCGAGCCATGGTCAGAGCAACGTGCACGTCGTCGTCGTTTCCCACCATCGAGGTGTACTCCTCCCCAGGAACCGGATTCTCGTACAGCCCCAGCTTCAATTTTGTCTTGACGATGCGCTTCACCGATGCTCGCAGACGGGCTTCTTGTTCCGGGTGCTTCTCCAGCATCTTCTGTGCATGGCCGATGAAGTTTGCGTTACTCGGCACCATGCTCATGTCAATCGACGTATGCGTCAGTGACAAGGCCACGGCGTCCTCGTAGGTCTTGGCAACGCGATGCCAGTCCTTGAGATTGTTGATCTCAGCCCAGTCCGTAACGAGCACACCGTCAAACCCAAGGTCCGATCGAAGCAGGTCGTCCAAAATGCGAGAGCTTGCAACGACGGGCTGGCCATTGATCGACGCGTACGTCTCTATCATCGCCATGGCACCAGCGTTAATGGCAGCTTTGAACGGCGGCATGTAGTAGTTGAGAAGGTCAAAATCAGACAAAGTGACGCCTTCGCGATCGTGGCCCTTGTCGGTCTTAGAGTAGCCGAGAAAGTGCTTCACGCAGGCCGCCGTATGGTTGTAGCTCTGCAGACCGCGAACGACAGCGTCGCCCATCATGGAGGTCACGTAGGGGTCTTCGCTGAACGTCTCGAACGTGCGGGCCCACAACGGGTTGTACGAGATCTCCAGGATCGGTCCCAAGATCATCGAGATACCAGCAGCTGCCGTGTCGCGGGCCGCAATTCGTGCTGCTCTGTACACCAGATCGGGGTTGAAGCTCGCGCCCATGTTGATCTGATGCGGGAACATGACGGCTCCATCGACGTAGGTGGCCCCGTGCACCGAGTCAATGCCGTAAATGATGGGGTGCCCATCGTTCTCCTCCATGGCGATCTCCTGGATGCGCTTGATCACGCCCCGGAACTCGGTGGCCGTCCAGCCGTACTTGTCTCCTCGGCGCGATGAGTAAAACGAGCTGATGTACGAACCCACTTGCTGCTTGGCGTAGGCACGGACGGCGGTCTCGTTCAGCGTCTGGGTAGTGACGTTCATGACCGTGTTTATATCGACCTGGGTCATTTGTCCGAGCAATTGCATCGTCGTGAACTTGTCGACGATTGCTTGGGCTCTGGCGTCGTGGACATCAGTGGTATCGGCTGCTGCACCGGCGAGACTGGGGTACGTCACCGCTGCAGCCAAGCTGCAAGCAGCGATCCAACTTGTCCACATTGGCAGAAGGGTGCTGTCGGTGTTGAGGTGCTTGGCAGGGCGCTTGCAGGCAGGAAATTTGACAATGACGACTAAGGGCGAAGCTCCGGTCAGCTCCGCTCCGCTCAGCTAGGAGCAGATCCGCTTTTCCCTTGCGCCATCACGAACCCAAGTGCATCTGCCCACTTTTGCCCGCAAGGGACCGTGCCTGTCCACGGATGTTGTACGACGTCGCATTCACACATGAAGGAGAAGTTGAGCGATCGAGGCAAAGCACAAAGGCGATTGCATTGTCGTGAGCTGACCCGGTATTCACGTGCCGCCAGATCGTGAACGGCGGCCAATCTACACAGCCGATTAAAGACGGCCAAGTCCGAGTGGCAAATCACGAACAGACATCGTAGGAGCGTGCAGAGCATGTCCGTGTCTCATGTGTAAACCAAAGCATCGTGGATCGTTGCTGTCGTGTTGTGTTTACCTGCAATAAATCTCAAATCCATTCGTGTGAGGAACGTGTTTGATGACCGGACTACCAGAGGCACTACATCACAAGCGCCGAGGAGGACGGACAACCCAGTCGAGCATCAAGCTACGCGCAAGCGCAGTGGCTATGGGAGGTGGGCGATCGATACTAAAAGACGTCAGCCCCGTGCGGACCTGGCATCGTCTTGTCCTGTGTGGTACGTCTTACCGATACGCGAGGACATGTCACATGGACGTTCCAACGACCTGAAGATTAGTTTGAAGTACGTGTGCTCCGGTGTTAAGACCAGACCAGCGCAACGACGACGTATCGACGATGTTTTTTCAGCGGAAAGGCTCCGATTGTCGATTGAACGAACGGCTCATCATGTGGTATAACATGTCTTTGGACTACCCACGAACGACATTCCGAGACATAGCCGTACCCACTCCGAGTATCGCATGGGAGGATTCCGCCAAAGGGGCTGCCCGAGACGAGGGACTGAGGCTGGGGCTGACTTGAGCTGAATGGTGAACAATTGACGATCGCCAATTTTTCTATCGGTCTTGTTCTAAAGCAGACGGTGTCCGAAGAGGCGTGTGAACATTTTACGTGTACAATCCGACGGCAAGTCGTTATGGGAGGATTCCTAATGGCATATTCATCGTTCGAAGCGATGTGGCCCGTCCTGAGCTCAGCATCAAGACGAAAGAGAAACGAGCATAACGAGCATGACGAGCATGACGACACAGATGACGGCTGTCCAAATAAGCGTACGATGCTTTGTGTCTTGATGCTGTCGCAAGGGCACGGTTGCACTATGGTGCGTGACTGATTTACAAACCGTTACTTTTCCAATGATGTCGGGCGTTATTCGTGAGAGTGCAGCCTCTCATAGATGAGCGGCTGAATGTTCAAGGATACAATGTAAGAGATCGGACCATCTATTGGAGCTACTTATCACTCGTAAGATGTTTGTTGCGTGAAATCCAAATTGTCTATCTCCCATGGCACGATCTTTCTCTTCCACATTCCTCATTCTGCTGGCTCGATACGCCAGGCGTCTCGGGACACACTCCCGAAGAAAGGTTGCGCGAGAGTGATTGTCGACCACGTCCGAGGTTGTGACTTCGTATGCTTCGTTGGCCGGATAATTAGGCTGCGCGTCACTTCGCTCGTCATCTGCTCCAGGGGACAGAGGACGCATGGCTAGGAAGCCTGTCCACTTAGGAAGTCCTAGCGTGCCATCTTGAAGTAATCCCTGGCCGCTTCTGTGGTGGTCGACTTGCTCTGCTCTTCGGGCTGATCCCAGTGCACAATCTAGTGCAGATTTGTCCTGGCGCAACACGAGTCGAAGAGTATCGTGGCCTGGTGCTTACTCTACATAAACGACCGACATTGGATCTCAACGGGACATCACGTTCTTTACGAGTTCACTTCGTGATGAGTTGGTGTCGCGCGCAGCGAACGAGTCGGCACGAGGGGGGCAACTCGTGAAGAGCAGGAACTTACGTAGGCACGGGGATGCCGATTCCTGTTGGTATTTCCCGTACCGCGAGATACCGAGAAAAGGCTTCCCCCTTTTTAACCTTGGCTCCACTAAGGGAGGACGTTTCCTCACCTTGGTAAGGGGGCCATATTACTGGCTCGTAGGACGTCTCCGTCTCTGTCCGTTGTTGCTTGAAGCGCCCAAAGGGGAACTGTTCTACGATGCGATGTATAATCCAATGAAGAGTGCATTCTCCAATCTGCTTCTCGCAGCACACTCCAGCAGCTACCAACAGCTACTCAAACCGCCTCGAAAGATGAAGTTCTCATCCGGGCTTGTTCTTGCCGCAGTCGCTGTGACCGCCGCCCACGCGGGCAACTCCAACTCCCTTCGCACGACGGAAGCAACTCCAATCGAGCACGACTTCCAGTCGACGGTCGTCGCCCGTGACCCCGTTAACGGCCGAGAGATTAAGGTGAAAGACCTGGCGGTCGACCTCGAGCAGATATTCGGCAAGAGCAAAGACGGCATCCCCACCAAATTCAACATTTTGGACTTGATCGGCAGCGGAAATGGCCAGGCGGACTTAAAAGTCCTTGCTAAGTCGTTCAATGATGTACCCTCAGGCAGCGACGACTGATCGTGGCTCGACGAAGCCGGCAAGATAATCAACAATGAGAAGGTGTCGGTCGTCCAGGGTGAGAACAAGGACAACTCGTACGATACCAAGGAGGGTAAGCTTTGGAAGGAGGACGGCCTGGTGTGGCTCGACGCCTATGATGACGACATGGCTAGTGCCGCTGCCGACAAGACCGCAACGAAGGGCGCAGCTGTGTCCAACGGCGACGACGACAACTTTACAAGCAGCAAAGACTTGAAATGGATCGAGGACGACTCGGTGGCTGGAAGCCGTGATGTTGTTGGTGTGAAGAGCGCTACGAAGGGATACGCTGAGAGCGGAAAGGGCGATGCGTCGGGCAGCGACGACCTGGCGTGGCTCTTTGACGACGAGGCTGGAAGCAACACGTTCGCTGATATGAAGGGAGACAGCCAGGGTGCCGCTCCATTCGTGGTGGGCAAGGACTCTGTTGGTGGGAAGGGCGATGACAAGGGAGCTTTTGTGATCGGTGGGGACGACAACGATGAAGTCGATGACGCTGTTGCCTCGAAGGCTTCCAAGGCATCGAAGAAGGGTGGAGACAACATCACCTTTTCCAACTTGTACGATGAGGGTTCGAATGGACTCGTTGGTGGTGAAGGCCCATTGGATAACAAGGACACGATTGCGGTTGCGAGTGCCACGAAGGGGAAGGCTCTATCGGCTAAGGACGACGACAAGTCGATTGCAAACGAGGCTGTTCAGAATGACGTTGTGCAGTCGGACGAGACCGTCGGGGGCGATAATGTGGCCACCAAGGGCACTAAGTAGGTGTTCCGTAGATAAATCCGTTGCAAAATTCGCGTTGTAATAACGAACTGTAAGTCTCGATCGGGCATGACGTTGCTAAGTTCTACTGCGACAGCTCGGAGTAGATCGACTGTCGATAAGATCAAAGATCTATTATATTTTTTTCCGAAAAACGACCCACTGGTCAAGTGCCAAGGCATTGAAATTGACTATTTTGTCACATTACTCTGTTTTGAACCCATCACCCAATGGTTTGTGGTGAGTGACGGTTATTCTGTCGTTCGCCGGACAAAAACCGATTTATGACCAGGCGGGACTCAACCAGCAATTAGAGCATTATAGACAGCGTACTGTACCAATGCACCAGGGACCTCCCTCAATACGTTGAAATTGGGACCCATACGTAGTGTAAAACCTGTTTTAAAGGCCCATGCTTCAATAAGAGACTCCCATTAATCATAACCACACGTGCCTTAAAATTTATTCCACAAACCCATCCCTCCAACTGACCACCCCTCCAACAGTCCCCAACGTTTAAGCAACTAAGAGCAGTCTTGATCGAATTCTAGAGCCGATCAGAACACCACAACGCCTTACTGATTTTCTCTTCAGCGTGCTCTACGCAATAGCTACTGGTAAACCACAGCATAGGTTCTAACTTCCTGATCAACCATGGTGCGCCAACGCTACACTATCGGCGAAAAAAAGAAGATTGCATGTGAGGCGAAAGGCATCGTTACGATCCGTGTCCGTCAAGTACAACGTCGACCGTCGCTGCATCCGCTACTGGGTCCATCAAGACAATGCTGGCGCGTAAGACGAGGAGTCGCCGAGCAGGTTTCGCCTTGGCGGGGGCGGTCGCCGTGTTGTCTGTGAAGAACTGAACTCTCTTCTTATCGCTGAAGTTAGCGAAGTTCGTTTTAAGCACCTAAGTTTCACTCGCCACCGGGTCGTGGAGATGGCGGCAAAGATCCTTAGGACCATGGCATAGCAGCCCGGTCACGCTCTATCGAATGGTTGGCTTGAGTGATTTTTTTGCCGACACAATCCCGTCAAGCGAAAGATAACTAACAAGCCGAAAGTGAGTGCTGAAGTTATCTCCACGCGCGGTGCCATCTTCATCTTGCACTTGCGCAAGCTTGTCCGCGAAGACAAGATCGAGCGGTGAAACTTAATCGATCTGGATGAAGCTGCGGTCTTTGCTGACCATGACAAGGATACTACGCGGGCGGATCGCGGAGCCATAGACGTACCCGTCAGGTCTCTCAGCTTCGAAAAAATTCGCGTGGCTGCTGTGGTTGCTGTTCGCGGCGATAGGACCAAGTTGAAGTCATGTGTTCTAGACTAAGGAAAGGAAAACAGGATCTCGACATAGCGAGGGATCCCAGTTATCACCAACGCCAAATCATGGATGGATTCGGAATCGTTTTTTGATACGTCGACTACATGTATCCATTTCCCGATTTGAACAAGAATTGCTCGTAATCGACTCCGCACCAAGTCACGTGAGCAAAAAGGTGAAGACTCACCTACATGTTTGAAAGATCCTGCACGCGTCAGTCCCGGGTAGGCTGACGTCGTATCTACAGCCCGTCAGTTACGGAGTATTTATGCCTTTAAAAGAGCACTTAGCCTACCTGATCGACAACTGGAAGGAGCATGGACCTCACTCCTACACGGCAGGTAAAAATGTACGTTGTCGTCCATATCAATATTCGTCGGCTGGATCAAGGTTGCGTGGTCGGATATTAGCGAACGATCAATTCGCCTCAGCTTCCGCAGCTGCTTATCTGAAAAACGAAGATTTGGCGCTTTGGCGTCACGAAGAGTGCAGCCTCCATTTTTAGCGACTTGTGTTCAGAAGCGACATGGCCGAGTCGAACTCCCACTTTCTGTTCCTGGATGACAACAGCAGCAGTGACATGGACATTGATGACGACGACGAGAATGAGCTTCACTTCTCGAATAATCCAGCTCTACATTTGTGATACCTTAGGATCGCATACCCGCAAAGTGCAACGTGAGATTTGGTTTCCAGCGGGAATCTGCGTTGCACGTACCATATCATATTCAAGTCATTTCGGATTGATTGCACGTTTTTTTCTTTTGGAATCACTGATAAAAAAATAGCGTTAGTTTCTGAATCAACGTTTTATTGAGAAGCCCATACCTCTTAGAGAGGCGCTTCGTTTGCTTCTGCATATTGCTTGCAGAATGCGAAAGGCCGGGTCTACCCACGTATTAAACGGCGCAGGGACTTACTGCGCCTTGGCCGCCAACTAGCGCGGGGGCATGAGACACAACAGTTTGATCACTACAATCAAATTTACAGAATGAGAAAATAAAGCACGAAACTTGTGTTGGTGGCGCCTTTCCGCAATTTCTTCGCTCAATCTTATTCTACTTTTTTGGTAATCTTATTCTAAGTTCAATCAAATATTTTCTCTCAATTTCTTTCGCTTTTTCTCATCCTTATTCATTATTCTTATATAGGACCAGCCCCTTTTTGATTACCCACACTAGGGTGGGGTTATGGCGAACCCCTCAGTGGGTAATAATACAGGTTTGTCAGTACCTAATTCGATATCTATGGTGGAGGGAACGATTACAGGCGCCATTTGTTCGGCTTATATGAAGACAAGAAAACACTCATTGGGTGGCCGCCTTGCCAAATCGCAGCTTAGGTGCGTGATAGTTGCGTGGGCTGGAACATTTCCATCTTTAAGCAGCCAGTTCATTTTCGATTTATTGATAATGATACAATAATTATAGTCATAAACATATATACTTTCGACATTGATTTTAGAGCATAATTGTATTTCGTACATATTTTACTTAGCGCTATAGGTTACAATGAACGCAATTAATAGCTTTTCACTGCCCGCGACGTCTGTGTCGAATAAAATAAATATTTATGCGGGATCTTAATTTGATAGTAATCAGTTTCCGCTTGTGGGAAAGGATGGTGACGCGCTTTACAAAACGTATGATACAACATAGTGGTATGCTTAGGAATTGGATACGATCATAGTCCGCTAAACGTTGCCGATATTACAAAATGAAGAGCCCAGTTTTAGTATAGAAATAAAGGTCAAGATTCATTATACTGTATCGATCGGTAATTTGAAACAGGGATAATACACATCGAGGTTTCGTCTGCAGTAAATTTTGGATGGCGTAGGCACTATTAGCAAAAATTTATTTATTTCGAGACTTTATAAGCACGGTCCGCATATTACCACACGATGATGACATACCATCAAGACAATCATGACTGCGACTATGTGGCTGTAGCACCCACATAAAAATAACTTTTCAATAAGAAAAAAGTATCTTTGCCTACATTTAAAAATTATATAGGCTTTTATAAAAAATGAAAAAAGGTAATGTAAAATTTTTACCCACTCATTTAAACATATAAAGCGCTGTAAGTAAATATGTATAGCATTTATTCGGTCTGACATTTACCAGTACATTATATATAAGCGCAATTTTGCTCTGACAATTGCACAAATGTTTTAACAACATTTTTTACAGCTTATTAGGAGTTCAGCTCCAAAACTGTTATAATATAATTTAAGTGAGCTGGCATTGAAGGTTTCAGTTATTCTCACGGATAGCCCTTTCCGTAATCATTACTTCTTCCAATGGGGCAGTAGATGATCATGAAATTTCGCTGAAGACGTAAGTAGTTGGATAGGAAAGATGTTAGACGTATGTATTGAATCAATTACCTGCGTCTGTGTTCATTAAAGCAATATCAGTAATGTGCGCAGCTGTTCAAATTCAAGAAATTGTACTCAGAGGGTGAATTATTAAATTCAGCGCCAACAACAAGCGCTTCAAAGGTAAAACTACTGAGATCGAAGTACGAAGGCGGTTAATTACTGCTCTGTGTTATTTACATACATCTTCATTATACCACCCTCTAGAAATTCACCCAGAATAAACATATTATAGACGTTTAGCCTTTGAATCATTATCAAATGGCCTTTTCGGTCCGGTTATGACTTTATAGATATTGCTATTCATAATCGATTTACTAATCTTCGTATAAAAATACGATAGGAAAACCTGCATATTTTTGTGTTTCGACAACTTTTTTCACCCACGCACGTCGCTGTTGATTATATATACAAATTAATCACGGTTTTGATATAGGAGGTTGGTAGGTTATTTGCATGTGTGCATCGGATGTAGGAAGAAAAGAGGTAACATTAGCGTCAAATACTTTTTTAGTCACCACTTTAACATGAATTTTTATCAAAACTTCAGCGTTACCGTTTCGAGTCGTATGGGGCAATCGTATCACTACATCCAACATGTCACGGTCATGTCAAATGCTGACTTTATGTGGCGATTGCATCTCCCGCTCTCATCAATATTATGTCGCAAATAACAGCTATTTAAGTTACGTCGAATAAGCTAAAAAAAGTCTTCTTCTTATACCTCGAATCTCCATCACCTGAAATGTACACAATATATATCATTTGCATTATCTAACGGTAGGGGTAAAGCTACTACCAACAATTTCAAGTACAAGGGCACATATCTTGTATAATGTATAGTGTAATATTAGAACCAAGAGAGCTTCAATAACGTGTATTGAGTTCCGATACAAAATTAAAAGAAATTGAGCAACAGCCAGGAATCAGAAAACTGAATGATCACAAAATTACTTAGATTTAATATATACAACACAAAAGACGTATTGTATGACCGCAAATAAACGCTTTTTATCAAGATTTCCAATGAATTGAATTTATCCTTTCCAATTATTTTGAAAATATATAAACATTAAACGCTTTTATCGCTGATAGTCAATGACTACGAATTAAAAAAATGATCTGATGGCGTAAGTGCAATCTAGAATGAATATGTCTCGCTTGATTGATAGAATCCATTTGCTAAGAATAATAATATTTCAAATTTTATAAATTTTCTGTCTTCATAAAATTACGTTCAGTAGTTTTGGCGTGATCCGGTAAATAAATGAGAGTAAGGAGTAGCGGGTTTCACAA